TGTGTGTGTGTGTGTGTATGTGTGTGTGTGTATGTATGTGTGTTATGTGTTGTGGTGTGTGTGTGTTGGTGTGTGTATAGCATACATACATACATGCTATTAATTATCTATATATATATAGATATATATATATTTGTATATATTATATAATATATATATATTATTATATTATATGTATATAATAATATATATATAGTATATATTTAATAATTATACATATGCTGTTATTATATATATATAGTATATATTATATATATATATATTTATATATATATATATAAATATATATTACTATATATATACCTATTACAGTACATATAAATTATGAAATTATATTATATATATAACTATTTCTTATATACTATATATATATATGTATATTATATTTATATATATATATTATACTATATATATATATATAATTCTATATATATAATATATATATTTATTCTTATATATATACTATATATAATAATAAAATATATATATATATAATTAAAAATTATTATATAATATTTATAATATATATATATATATATATATAATATATATATATATATATAATTAACATATATTATTCGAACGAAACTGAAACTGTAACTTACGAAAAAAATAGAAAATGATTATACAATGAGCATATGTATACAGACTTCGGAAGCATTAAAAAGGCAAAATAAAAAAAAAAAAAAAAAAAAAAATCCAAAATAACAAAGGAAACAATATAATGCCAAAATAGAGCATGAGGAAAAAGTAACATGTAGCGAAATAGATGAAAAAACAATGATCAGTATTGGTACATGAAAAAATATGAATGGCCGAAGAGGGCTTTAATAAAAAAAATAACGAAAAGAAAAGAGAAAAATATAAGATGATATGAAAAAGGAAAAAGAGGAAAAGAAAAGAAAATGCGGGGAAAGAGAGGAGAGACAATGGAAAGATGAAGAAAGAGAATGGAAATAAAAAATATTTTATAAAGAAACAAAGAAATTAAAGATTAGAAGAAAAGGGAAAAACAACCAAGTAAACAGGAAGTAAGAAAGGTATCTAAGGTATCAAAGAAAAAAAACAAACTCATGAAGATATGTCTCGACATGAATTATAATAATGAATACAAAGCAGAAAAAGAGAAACAAATGAGGAAAGACATAAAAAAGGACAACGCGAAATAGAGAAATAAAAGAGTAGGCGAGAAAAGGGGTGAAAAACAAAGGAAAAAGAAAAAAAAAAGAAAAACGAACAAAAATCCAAAAACAAGATAAAGAAAATGGAATAAGCTGCAGGGCAAGAACGAGTCAAGCATCCACAATACCAACGAATTCTCTTGAGATGACAATAGCATCCTTTACATCGAGTCGATCCCGTTTCTTGACAGAGACTGCCGTGGGTAGGGTGGTAAGGGGGGGGGAGAAGGATGGGGAAAGGAGAAAGAGAGGAAGATGGGTGGGAGGGGGTAAAGTATGGGTGTGGTAGGAGGGGGGGAGAGGAAGGAAGAAGAGGAGGAAGATGGAGTGGAAGGGGTAGAGATGGTGGGAAGGAGGTACGAGGGGAGGAGGAAGGAAAGCGAGGAGATGGGTGGAGGTGGCGTAAAGATGGGTGGGTAGGAGGGGGAGAAGGAGAGAGAGGAAGATGGGGTGGAGGGGGTTAGAGATGGTGGGAAGGGGAGGGAAGGGAGAGGAAAGGAGTAGGAGAGGAAATGGGGTGGGAGGGGTAGAGGATGGTTGGAAAGGGGAAGGGGGAGAGGAAGGAGAAGGAGAGGGGAAGATGGAGGTGGGAGGGGTGAGAAGGGTGGTAGGGGGAGAGGTGAGGAAGGAGAAGGGAGAGGATAATGGAGGTGGGAAGGGGTAGAGATGGGTGGGAAGGAGGAAGGGGGGAAGAGGAAGGAGAGGAGAGAGATGGAGGTGACGGGGGTAGAGATGGGTGGGGAGGAGGGAGGAGGGAGGAGAGTCGGGGAGGAGGAAGGGAGAAGGATAGGAATGGAGGTGTGAGGGGGTGAGAGATGGGTGTAGAGGAGGGGGGGGGAGGAGGAAGAGAAGGGAGGAGATGAAGGTGGGAGGGGGTAGAGTGGGTGGGTAGGAGGAGGAGGGAAGGAAAGGGAGGGGATGGAGGTGAAGGGGGTGAGATGGTGGGTAGAGGGAGGGGACGGAGGAGGGAGAAGGATGGAGGGTGGGAAAGAGAAGGGGTTAGGCAAAGGGGGTGAAAGGGAGGGAGGAAGGAGGGGATGGAGGAGGAAGATAGAGGGGTGGAAGAGGAAGGAGGAGTAAGCGATGGAGGAGATGCTAGACAAGAGGAGGAGGAGGTGATGAGGAAGCGAGAAAGGAGAGGGAAGGAGAGCCAGGAAGGAGGAAGAGGGCGGAGGAAGGAGGGGAGAGGGGGTAGATGGGGAGGAAGGAGGAAGGGGGGGGAGGGGGAATTACAGGTTGAAGTGTGTCTACTCTTTCTCCTGTGGTCTGAATTATGTTGAATTATAAGAGAGGTGGACAAAATGTTTCGGCTTTATCGC